CCTTCTAGTTGCTGTATGTGGGACTCGGCCTCAGGATGGACGGAGAAGTGGTGCCTCGATGCGCACCCGCGAGACGAACCCGGGCCGCCAGCATCGCAGCGCACGCACTTAACCACCAAGCCACAGGGCCGGCCCTACTAATTTATTTCTAAAGTTCTCCAAGACGGTGGGGGTGCCCCTCGACGTGACACAGGCAGACACCGTACATAGCACTTAGGTGTACTCAAGACTTCTGGAATCTTTTCAGAGGTGCCTATGCAGACTATGGTTTGTCCATCCCATACACTGTGGGTTTGTCCACGTCCAGGCACCTTCCACGTACACCCTCAACACGCATGGCCACAAGAACACCTGGACAAATGGGCAAGAGGATGCATTTTGCCATTTTTTTTGCTGGCTTTCTCACGATGCCTGCCTTGTTCTTCATTACTAGACAGCCTTCTCTCCTTTTCTAAGCTGTCGCCATCCACGAGGGACTTTAGGGTTCTGACAGTTTCCGTGTTGGTTCAATAGGAAATCCATACCTCACAGATTTATCGAGTCCTCCTGTCTGCACTGTCTCCTGGGGTTACTTCACGCCGTTGAGGTCGTCTTAAATCCGTGCATTTGCCTCCTTCTCCAGCCATCTGGCCATAAAGGATGCAAGACAAGGCCGTTCACACAGCCCCGGAGGGCTGGGCCGGTGGCTCATCAGCTCACACAGCCCCGGAGGGCTGGGCCGGTGGCTCATCAGCGTGGAAGCAACAGTGACTCTAGGAGTTTGCGGCGCACTTTTATGTCGTGGGCAGGGACTCTGGACTCACGAGGGGACACCCTGCCCCTCCTGGACTGAGATTGTACCACATGGTGCCTCGCCACGGAAGAGCGGCCGTGTGGGCGTGTTGTGTGGTCGCGGATCATCCCCGAGGGCGTTTTCTCAATCTCACCGGCAGCATCTCGAACTTTACTCTTGGATTTCGTCTGTGTCGCCCTGCAGAACTTGGGTACAATTAATACCGCTACTGGGACCCTCCAGTCAACTCCAATGTCTGACACTTACAAATTCTGGCTTTTGATGCATTCTCAACACAGAGAAAGTGACTGGGTGAAGATGAGCCCCAGGAAGAAGTATTTGGAGGGATAAGAACCGTCTCCATTGCGATGAGCAGTCTGGTCCTCTGGGACGGGGGAGGAGGCCCTGCTGGGTGGCCGTCCTTGGGGGGTTGTCTGATTTTCGCTGACCAGAGGTGCAAGGACATCTAGAATTGGGGAAAAGCCGTTTATAATTAAGGAAAGCCTGGATCATGTGGTCCTCTGATCCTGGTGGCTGTGCTGTGCCCACTCAGAGGATCCTGGTCATTCAGGTTTTAAGGGGACTGGGCATGAGCAGGAGCACTGTCCCTGTTGGTGTCTGGATGGACAACTGGTGTGAGTGCCGTCCTGAGGGGCACAGGAAGGCCCCTTGAAGGGCAGCTCCTGGGAGAAGCTGCCTGTGGTCTGGACATTCTGCCCTGACTTGGGCCTGGAGGTGCCTCTGCCTTCCTGTTTTAACCTCCAAGACCACCAGGGGGCGTCACTGTGCTGGCCAACAGCACCCACATACTTCTCACGCATCAGCTGGCTGGACCCTCCAGCTGCCCCGTGAGCGGTAAGGGTCGCCTATCATCCCCATCCCAGGATAAGGAAGCACGCCTGGAGAGAATCCATTCCCCGAGGCCCCCAGATGTCAGGGCCGCAGCCAGGATTCAGGGCTCAGATGAGGACTGAAGCTCCTGGGTGTTGGTTTTGACGACAGGATGGCCTCAGCTCCACGTCTGTCCCCACTGCGTCCTGCTCTGAAGTGGGACCAATGCTGAGAAATCAAACTCTGGTTTGGGAACTGCTGTGGTCTGTGTGGCCCCCCAAGTTCATATGCTGACATCCTTAGCCCCAGTGCGATGGTCTCAGGAGGTGGGGCCTGTGGGAGGTGATTAGATCACAAGGGTGGAGCCCTCGTGAATGGGATTGGTGCCCTTTTTATAAAAGAGACCCCAGAGAGCTCCCTCACCCCTTCCACCCTGTGAGGACACAGTGAGAAGACGGCCACCTATGAACCAGGAAAAGGACCCTCGTCAGACACCAAATCTGCCGGCCCCTTGACCTTGGGACACCCCAGCCTCCAGACCGTGAGAAAGAAATTTCTGTTGTGTAAGCCACCCAGTTTATGGTGTTTTGTTACAGCAGCCCAAACGGACTAGGACGGAGACCCGGAGGCCTAAACACCATCTTATTCTCCCGTTTCTCAAAGCACACATTGTGATCTTTTGTTTTTCTTTGACAACCAGCAAGGAAAACAGCTGGCACGCCATGCCAGGCCTGCGGCTCCAGGGCCCCCAGAGGGAGAGGAAGGCCAAGTACAGAAGGCAGACTTTATTGTGGCACAAATCGAGAGGAGGGGACGCCGCCAGCAGCTCTCGGGGGGAGAAAACCAGAGACGAGGTGTCTGCCCTGCACACCTCTGCTTGGCTGAGGTTCTGGTTAACAGAGCAGACGGACAGACACACCCAAACAGACACAGAGACGGGAGGCATGGTCACGTCCAGTTTTGTTACCAGGATCACTCGTAGCTTAAAAATGAAACAAGCACCAGCCCGCCAACACACACACACACAGGAAGCTCTGCAGGCAGCGCCCCTACTGGGAATCAGACTCCCCGCCTTCCCGTTAGCCGGCCCAGGCACATCACAGCTACACCAAACGTGCCGGCATCCGACTCCAAACTTCAGAAAAAATTAAGAACGAGAATTTTATATTTTCTTCCCACAAATGAAAAAGTAACAAAATCAACATTTTGACTCTAGACTCTGGTGGAAGATGGTGTCTGGCTCTCACATACAGCTCTCCCTGGAATCATCGTCTCTTGCAGCCGTCCACTGCCGGGTGCTCTGAGGCCCACACTTGTCCCTCACCCACCTTGTGAGAGCGTCCCAGCCAACCTCTGACGAGGGCGGGGACCACCGCAGTGCCCGTGAGCGGGGAGGCCGCTGGGACCACAGGGACCAAGAGGACAGCGCAGCCTTGCCAAAGGGAAAGGAACAGAAGGCGGCGGCCTTCCCACCCTGGAACTCCACGGGAAGCCTGCTGGTGGAGGTTCTGGCAGAGCTGGGGGTGGGGCGGGAAGGCTGGGTCTGAGAAGCAGGTTCCCCAGGGTGTTCTGGGGACACCTGTCACACAGGGGGTTGCCTGGGGTAGAGTGTGGGACCCCGACACCCACTCCGGGGGAGCCACAGTGCACAAGCAGACACTCTGGAGAAGCAGCTGGCCTGGCCCTGTCAACGTTTGGGCTCCCACCGGCGTTCCTGGGGAACCTTGTTTCTGAGGCTACCTCGTCATGCTCCCCAGAACTCCTCTTTCACGGACACTCTGGGAAACACAGCAGCCCAGAAACCACACTCTCTGGAATGAAGCCCTTGGCTCAGCTGAGACCAGTCACCGCATAGACAGTGGTGAGGGGAGTGTGGACAGGGCCTGGCACTCAGCCCCGGGGACACTGCGACTGGCCCTGCTCCTGACCTAGGGGGGAGGAGGACCCTGAGCCCCCAGAGTGTGAAGCTGGGAGACGGCTCAGGAGGGCGACGCTGCACCTAGCGGGAGGGGGAGGAGGAGGACTGTGCAGAAGCAGCTCAGAGAGCTAAGGCTGGGCTCCGCCCCTGAGCACAAGCAGAAGGGCCTGCGAGCGCCTAGACGAGGCGGGTGACGTGGCAGTTGCTGGGCTCGTCCAGGTACAAGGTGCTGAAAACGTCGTTGAAGAAGGTCGGGTGGTACCTGCAGGCTCGCTCACAGTCTGGGTTGAAGTTCACCTCCAGGATCTGTGGCTGCATTACTCGCTTGCCTGACGGCACAAAAGCACAGGGCATCTCACTCCTGGGAGGGTGGGCTGCTGGACCCCGTGAGGGCCAGGGAGGGCCTACAGCTCGCGTCTCCTGGCTTCTCAGGGGGCAGGGCCTGAAGCCTACTCCTCGAGGGGCAAGGCTGGAGCTGCCTCCACCCTCAGGAGTAACGTGAACCAGCACATCCAGCTCAGATGTCCAGTTTAGTCGAAAAGAGAAGGCAGAGATACAGGCTCGGCACTCTGGAACCGAGGGTGGCCTGCCAGGGCTGCCCACTCCCTCCGCCTTTTACACCGGGCTCCTCTCCTTGTGAGTTCTCTCCCAACGCCACTGAGCCCACCCACCCTTCCTGCCTGCACTCTGCCCTGCAGGCCGTTGCCCCTTAACGGTGGGCCTCCCCAGACCCAGATCTCCCTAGGCAGTGCTGACTGGGGCAAGGAGGCAGTGATGCCTCCCTCTGTCCCCTGTGGGCGGCTGGTGTGGGGAGGGCTGGCTGGCTGGCTTTCGGTGAGTGGGGGGGGGCAGTTTGGATTATGGGGTGGGGGGGCCCCCCTCACCATCTGGACGGTTGTCCCACTTCAGCATGAGGTCGATGGCATACACGGCCCTAGACGAGGGATAGTCACAGAGGCCCAGGGGCGGTGGCTTGGCACATACCACTTGGAACAGCTCCGTGAAGGCCTGGAAGATTTCAGCCTGGGGACCGGGGAGGCAGGGTCAGGGGGTCTGCCCGGCTCTGATGCTGGGACCAGCCCCCCAGAGCAGCTTCTCAATACAGGGTGCACTGCCCCTTCCTGAACCCCAGCCCCCCTCCTCCGACATCCTTCGTGTCTCCCGACCTGGCTACAACCACCTCTGCCCGATGCCTGCCCCCTCTCACTTCTGTGTCCTCCTACTGCACACCGGCCTGTGTCTCGCGCCTGGAAGCCCCCATGGGCCCCAGTGCACCAAGGTGTGCAGAGCAGCCCTGGAGATGCTCTCTCCAGGACGTGGAGGCCAGCCTGCGTCTCCAGCCGTGTCCCTGCCGTCCCCTCAGGTTTGCAATTCCTGAGACAGGCAGGTGTCGCCGTCTGGCTGTCCCATGGGTGCCCTGAATGCCCTTCCAGGTCACCTCCCGAGGGGCCCTCCCACAACACCCCACACGGGAGTGGGAGCCAGAGTGGGAGAAGGGGGTCTCAGTCCACACCGTCCCCTTCGCCAGCCTCAGTGGGAGGAGCAAGATCACCCAGAGGAGACCAAGACCCCTATCCCCCTGACGCCAGCCCACGGGGGAAGGCCCGGCCCCGCCAGCTCTGCTCAGGACTCACCTGGACGCTCTTCCAGGGGAATTCTGGGTACTGCTTCTCAAACTCAGGTATGAACTCGTCATAGTGCACCTGTGACAGACACCGGGCCCGTCACACTCTGCCCGGGGCCTCCGCTGGGCAGGGAGGGGGACGCCTGCCCCGCTTGATGCGGAGCCTCTGACACTTGCTGGGGCCACAGGTTGGCGCCCACAGCCTATCCAGCCCCTCCTTGGGGCACAAACCGGGGGCAGGAGACTGAGTCTGAGCTCTGGGTCTCAGTGCGTGACTCTGGACAAGCAGATTCACTTCTCGGAGCCTTGGTCTCTCCATCTGTAAAATGGGACAAGGCCCCCTGCCCAGCAAACCTACTTCGCAGGCTGCTGTGACCCTCAAGCGAGACCCCAAACGCTGAGGGCTCGGTGGGCTGTGAGGCCCAGCTGACGTGTCACCATGCCTGTCTCAGAACGTGCACTGGAGGTGGGGCTCAGAGCCGCGTCTGCAGGCCCCAGGCCCCAGCTCACAGCTCAGCACCAGCTCAAAGTGTCTGAGGACAGCAGGAACCTCTCAGGCCAAGACTTTACCCGAATCACACCTGAGCACGCGGGCGTCAGCTCAGGTTTCTCCCAGAAAGGACCGGATGGGCCCCCTATGGAAGCCCGACATTCACGCCCTGCTGGATGTGTCCCCCGACACAGGGGCTTTGGAGGAAATGTGGCTCCCACACTTGTTTTATAGGGTGAAGGCACTTGGTTCCCCCAGAGAAACCTTCCAACAACGTCCTCGGCTTGGGGTCCTAGGGACCGGCCTTCAACACAGCCCAGGATGGGAATAGTGACAAGAAGCGACCGCCCCTGCCAGGGTGTGCAGAGGAGCACGGGCACTCTGGTGCAGCTCTGCTCCTAGGCACCCGCCCGAGAGGACGTCTCAGACACGGCCCGGCGAGGCGTCCCCGAGAGCGTCCGGTGCAGCACGCTTATTAACAATGAAAACCCAGAAATGACCTAAGTGTCCATTCACGAGTGAGCGACAAGAATGACCCGCAGCTAAACTTGGCAACAATGACGAATCTAAAAATGTGATGCACAGCAAAGAAAGCCACAGAAGGATCTGTTCAATAGGAGACTGTTATACAAAAACTTAATTACGCAAAACATTCATCTGAATCATTTAGGGACGTGCTCACGCTGAAAAGAATCAAGACATGCCCGGGAAAGACAATCACAACGTTCAGGGAGCGGCGACCTCTTGAGAAGGAGGGAAGAGAAGGCCCCCTGCAGGCCAGAGTCCAGCAGGGTGGGAGAAGGGGTGCGCCCTACTTGCTGGCTGCCTGAAACAGCCAGTAACCAACCAGCAGGGCAGGGGACTTTTGGGACAACGCATCAGGCGGCTGTTTCTCCGTTCCTCCTTCCTCCACCCAGAGCCAGCCTCTCCCTCTGCCCAGGCTGTGCCAACCTGTCCTGGGGCACCGGGCCAGCTGGGGTTTGACACCTTCACCTGGAAAGCAGTTCTGTCTTGATGCCCCTTTGCTCGAGGCCCCCAGATGGCGTGGGGAAGACAGAGGATCCAGGATCCAGGCAGGGTCACAAGACAGCAGCAGCAGCCCGCCCTGGGGCCACATGACATGCACCTCTGTACCTCCCCTCCCCGACCTGTGCTCATGCTCAGCCGGCGCTGACCGGAAGGCAGTCTGCGCTTCCTGACTGAGGGAGTCTGCTCTGCTCCGACTTGCCGCGGGCCCTGGGAAAGCCTCGGGTCCCCCCGGTTATCTCAGAGCGTGTGCTCCTCACAGCTGCGGGGGGGCTGTTGGAGATAACATGGGCACCAGCAGGCAGCTCCTCTGACTGTCTACACAGCCTGCCCAGGAGACAAGCTGGTGGGTGTGGGGTCTAGGCCCCGCCAGGCCCCTACCTGCTTCAGCACCACACCCGGATCATAGTTCATGACAGTGAAATGTTTCTCATAGTCGTCCAGGTCGTTGAGCGCGAAGGGCCTGCAAGACAAGCAGACAGACACCCGAGTGGGTCCTGGGCACAGCCACGTCTGAGCAGGAGTGGTGCTGGGAGCCCCCGGCCGGGCGCCGACTCGCCCACTGGTGCGAGTGGGGTGGTCCCATGGCCCTCCAGGGTTTGGGTCGGGGTGAGTGATGCTCACTGTGAGGACTCTCCGTAGGTCCACACATGTCATCTCAATGCGCAGGTGTTGCTGCCTATTCTACAAGGACCGCTCACGCCCCTTATGGTGGGAGACGGGGGCAGGGCAAGAATCACCACCATCTACAGAACCGGCTCGGCGGGGCACTGCTGGGTGCAGGAAGGAGCTCCAGGGCAGGCTTTCCCATCCTCAGTAGAAGAGGGGCCCCCTTGCTCCCCTCAAGCCCAGCCAGACCCCCTGGTTACCGGTTGGAGAAGCGCAGCCAGAACACGTCATAGACGAACAACCGCAAGGGCTTCACCGACCGCAGAAGCACGATGTAGCGGACATCAAACTTGACCCTCCCTACGTCTTCTCGCAGGAACAAGACAGGACTTTCAATGTACTTGGACACAACCTGAGGACACAGACGCAGGCTCAGGGCGGCTCTCGCCTCCCCGGGCCAGGACAGAGCCCCCAGAGGCACCCGACCTCGCTGTCCTCACCGGCTGCGGGCTCACACCTGTGGGCCGTCCAGATGCCGTCACCGCATCCCGGGGAACCAGGCCGCTCCTGCAGCCCACTCTCCCACCCCAGTCCCAAGAAGGGCCTCTTCCCACCTTGGTGTCCATGGAGGAACCCTCACCCTGAGCTTTGTTTCTTCCCCTGCCTTCTCAAACCCTTGTCTAGGTTGTGACAGGGTCTTTATCTTCAGAACTTCACTTTAATTGAAGGAAAGGAGCCCACCAGTTCCTAGGTCTTGAAAACTGAATACAAATTCTCAGCCACAAATCCACGAACTGCCCGTCCCACTGCTGGAAATCTCCCCAGTGGTCATCCCTGGGCACGTTTCCCTCAGGCCTCTGCCTAGGTGCACGATCTCATGTCCCGCAACTCCCCCAACGCTGCCTCTGACGGGCCCCGTGTCACTACGGCACCTCCATCCAGGCCCCGAGGCCTCTCTGTCCTGGCCTGCCGGACACCCACGTGAGGTGCAGTGTGTGTGGGGCCTCTGGGGTCAGACAGACCTAGGATGGCTCTGATCAAGGGCTCCCCCCCTCACCAGGACTGTCACACAGCCCTCCCTGCAGGCAAGGGCAGAGGAAGGAGTGGGGGTGGGGGCTTCAGACTCCTGTGAGCTGAGCGACCCCGAGTCACTGCCGTCCCTTGACCCACTCGCACAGGTCCTTGACACCAGAGGCCCCTCACCCCGCCTCTTGGTGGCTGGCCCATGCACTGAGCTGTGGGGCCTACCTTGGGGGAGCTCTCTCGGTGCCGGATGACACTGTGGAGGCTCTTGGTGATGTGGGTGTCCAGGCTGCGGGCCAGGTTCCAGGGCTTGCAGATCCAGTGGTTGTCCTCGCCCCTGGGAACAGAGGGGACAGCTAGGCTGTGCCCAGGCCACCCTCTCAGGCAATGTCTCCCCAGGACAGTGGCAGCAGAGGGGCACCCATCCTCCCCTAGGGAGCTGAGGGAGGTGTCAGAGATGTCAGAGGCAGGGCCGGAGGGAATAGGAGGAGTTTGCTGGAGCCAGGGAGCCGTGCCCCAGGTGGAGGGACCGGCCGAGCCGCGGCGGGACAACCACCATGGCTGGCTGTAGGCTCAGTACCCATGGCTCCCAGCACTGCGGCCTGCACACAGCAGGTGCTCAGCTAAGGAGCAGGCTGGATGTATGAGGATGGGTGGGGGTCACAGAAGCGTGATGGATGTAGGAGCCTTGGCCTGCATGGCTCCACAGGGGGCCAGGGTGGGGGCTGCTCACCGCCTCTCCCGCTGCTGGAAGTAGCTGACAAACTGGGGCAGCTCGGTGCGCAGGTTAAAGGTGCGGGGCAGCCAGGCTGGGCCCTCGGGGCCCCCCGCCCGGCGTGCGACGGAGGCCAGACAGTCCTTCACCGTCAGCAGGTTCTCGCAGGGGAACTGGTTCAGTAGCACGCCGGGCCTCTCCTGGCTGAGCCTCCTGTGGGGCCAAGCAGGCAGGCGGGTCAGAGGCGGCGAGGGGCTCCGGGGGGGCCGGGTCGAGCCCAGGGCTGGGAGGGCCTCACCTGTAGTCTTTGAAGTGCGAGAAGCTGTAGAGGATGTCGGCGTCCGCCTCGCTAGGGGTGAAGGCGAAGCGCGGGTGGGTCAGGTGGCTGAGCACCTGCTGGATGTCCGTACAGACCCTGCGGGGGAGGCTGGTTGGAGTCAGACACCAGGAGCAGACCCCAGGCCTCTGCTGTCTGTGCGTGAGGGGGCACTCGGGCCCTATGACCCCAGGAGCTCCCCTACAAGGTGGGCCCACTGGGCCCACCTCAAACTCGTCGTTAGGATGAAATGGGATAACCTCGAGTGTTTAACGAGTGCAGGCTCTTTCCTCGCGCACGGAAACAGAGGACAGGTTGACACTACCATCTCCCACGGACACACTAAGAACTCTGCCCTCAGAGAAGGGAGCTGGAGCCCCAAGGACCTGCAGGTGAGCGTGTGCCCAAGACAAGCGCCCCGGACGAAGCCTCGCTCCACCTGCTGCTCGCTGGTGCCTGCCCTGCCTGGCCCGTGCTGGCCCTGGGCAGAGGTGAGGACAGGGCCTGGGAGCCCGTCTGCTGGGGTGGCAGAGAAGGCCACACTATTTTTTTTTTTTTTATGAGGGAGATCAGCCCTGAGCTAACATCCATGCCAATCCTCCTCTTTTTGCCGAGGAAGATTGGCCCTGGGCTAACATCCGTGCCCATCTTCCTCCACTTTATGTGGGACGCCACCACAGCATGGCCTGACAAGCGGTGCCTCGGTGCACCCCCGGGGATCCAAACCTGGGCCGCCAGCAGTGGAGTGTGTGCACTCAACCGCTATGCCACGGGGCCAGCCCCAAGACGGCCACCCTTTTAAAGCGATGGGGCTGAGTGTGAGGGCAGGAGGGTGGCCCAGCCCAGGACAGCGTTCCAGGGGAGGGAGAATGGTGAGGGCCAGATTGCTCTGGGGGGGGCGAGCATGAGGTGTTTAGTATGTGGCTGGAGCGTGCAACAGGATCTTGAGCAGCAGGCAAAGACTAAGTGGGCCTCGGTGAGGCCTCTGACCCCGAGGAGGTGGAGGGACGCAGGGCATGGGTCTCAGGAAGAGCCCCTGGGCTGGGGCAGTAGCCTCAGGGAAGACGTGGAGGGCCGGGCAGAGGGCCAGCGGGGAGGAAACCCCTAGGACCTGGCGGAAGGGGCAGAGTTGAGCATGTTGCCCATCTCTGGCTGGACAAGGTTTAGGCAGCTAGAGGGAAGGGCTCCCACTGGAGGCCGAGGCCAGTCTGCCCCTGGTGGGGCTGGGACCTGCCCCCGAGCCTGCTCTACATCCGGTGGGCGGAGCACTGCACCTCCACTTCCTTACCTGTAAAATGGAGCGTCTGCTTCCACGTGGGGTCCAGCCTGGGCTTGCCTGCCCAGCCTTATGCAACTCGGCAGCCCACGCCTGCAGACCCCTGGGAACGGCCCCTCCTGGCAGCCCAGGTGCCCATCCTAGGTGGCCAGCACGGTCACTGGCAGCACAGGCTCCCTGCTTTCGGGAGGGGCCACTGTGTGCAGGCCTGGCTGTGTTTTCTCTCCAGGACCAGATGAACAGACACCCCCACCTGTCACAAGATTCTCTCTGTGATTGTGAGACTCTCCCCGGGCATTTCTGTCCCTCCAGACCGCCGGAAGACAGCGGACTTACTGAGCACCTCCCCAAGCCAGGCGCTGCTGGAGGAGCCGTGGGAACTGGGGGAGTGTGAGGAAAGTCTCATCACGGGCTGGGAAGGGGGCTACGCACTTGAAGATGTGGTCCTGGGGATGCGTCACCGGACTGATGGCAAGTGGCAGCTTCTCCTTGTTTTCCTCCAAAATGGCCTGGAAGGAGAACACTGGAGGTAGAAACAGACCTTCAAGAAAGGGAGCAAGTGAACACACACCACCCATCCTGGTACATCAGGGTTTTATGATCTCAGGAGCATCCCCAGGGCTCAGGGAGAGGCTTTCGCAGGTTCCGCAGGACCCAGAGCCCTCTGACCACCCCCACCCCGGGATTCTGGGGCTGAAGGCCCCTCAGGTGCTGAACAGCCCACTTTGTGTCAAAAGAAGAACGTAAACATTGTTCTAAATCTTCTCAACGCTACCTCCAAATACAGGCAGCTGAGAAGGTGCCCAGCCTGTCCTGGGAGGGGGCTGCTTGGTTCTAGGGGAGCCCCAGGGTCTGTTCTGAGTTCAAGCAATGTGGGGGTTTAAACCACGTCCAGACTGACACTCCCTTCAAAAGGCAGAGTTAATTTATCTCCCCTGAGTGTGGGCCGGACTGAATGAGTTGTTTCTAACAAACGGAAGAAGTGGAACGACAGTGTGCTCCTTCCCGAAAGGCCCAGCGGCTCCCTCCTTGCTCTCTCTTGGCCACTCGCTCTAAGAGAAGTCAGCCACCACGTTGTGCGGACACCCCGCAGCCCGTGGAGACGCTGTGTGGGGAAGAACCGAGGCCTCCCGCCAACAGCCAGCACCACCTTGCCAGGCGTGGGAGTGTGCCACGTGGAAGCAGGTCCTCAGCCACCTTGCAACTCCCATGACGTGGCCCTGGTGGACAGCCTGAGTGACCCTCATGGGGGGACTCCTAGCCAGAAGTACCAGCTGAGCCCCTCTCGACTGCTGTTCCACAGAAAGTTTGTGAGATAATACACGTTTGCTGTCCTAAGCTATGATGTTTTGGAGTAATTTGTTACCTGGTGATAGCTGACTAATACAGGCAACCTCAGGGCCCAGGGCCCAGGCCTGACGCTGATGGGTCAAATGGGGAAAAACCACCAGGACGTTTCAAATGAGCAGTGTTTGGCCTCTTAGCTCCTCTTCCTGGCCAGTACAGGGCGTCCCAAGAAAAAAGACTAATTTTAATTCCTGTTCCTTTAACCACCTTCAGATCAGGAAGTCTTTGTCCCTAAGCCATTCTTTTTTTTTTTTATAATTTTATTTATTTATTTATTTTTCCGCCAAAGCCCCAGTAGATAGTTGTATGTCATAGCTGCACGTCCTTCTAGTTGCTGCATGTGGGACGCGGCCTCAGCATGGCCGGAGAAGCGGCGCGTCGCTGCGCGCCCAGGACCCAAACCCGGGCCACCAGCAGCAGAGCGCGCACACTTAACCGCTAAGCCACGGGGCCGGCCCATCCCCTAAGCCATTCTTAAGCCTCGCCCTCTTGTATTTGCTCACTCGTTCAAACATCTACTTGGCGCAGGCGCTCCCTGAGGCTCTGGAACACACCTCTGAATCAAGAAGGGTGACCACCGAGTCTTCGGCGTGGTTGGTTCAATCACTACCGGCTTAGATAGAATTCACGGGGAAAAGTGCCAACAGGACCATGGCTACAGCCCAGCCTCTCCCCGTCAGCAGCACTCACAGAACAGCTAACACCACATGGTGCTTCCCGCTCTAATTCCAGTTAACTTGTCTGCTCCTTTCCACAGCCCTCGGAGGCCTTCAGTGAGCGTCTGATGTGCCAGTGGGGGCAGGGCAGCTTCAACACGGTGGGGCAAGGTGTGCGGCCTCTGCCCACAAGCTATCAGGTCCCCCTGGCTTTGAACTCCAGCTTTCCCACCAGCTGTGTGATCTTTGGCAAATTACTTAACCTCTCTGCATCTCAGTGTCCTCATTCTCACTAAAATGAAGAAAAAATAGGACCGTAAGTCCTACTGTTACAAGGATTGCAGTAGAGTGTGTCCATAAAGTGCTAAGTACAGGCTCTCTCGTTGCCTGGTTTCCAACTGGTACCAGCCAACATGAAGCAGTGGCAGATCAGAGGGCAGGGAGGGAGGAGAGAGTGGTAGTGTTAACCCCTGCCCAGCCCTGTGTACAGGATCCATTTCCCCCGACCCGAGGCCTCACTAACCCTGACTCTCTAACCCCCACCCCATGTCCTGGGCTCTGCGTTAACTCTCACCACCAGCCGGGCACCTGTGGGTGGGCCAGCCGGGGTCTGTGAGGCTGATGGAGAGGCTGCCCACCAACTGAAAGCACCTTTGTTGTCTGTAACAATGTAACACTAACGACAACCATTTGTTGAGGGCCTACTATGTGCCGGAAAACATACCATACAGTGTTGGAACACAGTGTCTTAATGTCCCTGGTGAGGGAGGTGTCAGGAGATAAGGAAACAGTACTGAGCCGGGATTCACAGCCAAGCTGCACGGTCTACACTGTCCCCCCAAGTCCTGGCAAGGAGTCCCCGAAAATGAGGAAGAGCAGCACTGGCCACCAGCACTGCCGGCTCCACCTGACCCTCTGGAAGTATGGTTCCCAGCATCAGGCACCCTGGGGCCTGGGCTCGGGCTGGCGCCCAAGCTGTGTGGCCACAGGCAACTCACATTCACTCCCTGAGCTCTGAGCCCCTTGTCTCTCACATGCTCTCAAACTCTTCTCTCCCTCCCACAGTAACCGGCTGGTGTTCAATAACATTTGGCGACTGGGTGGAGAACGTTCCAGAAGCCACCAGGCAAACAGACCCAGGGGCCGGAGGTAGAGGGTCACACCTGGTAGTGCTCATCGGGTGGCTCAGGCGTGGAGGAGCTGAGGTCCAGCATGTCGGCGGGGGCCCAGGGCAGCAGCATGCACTTCCGGATCAGAGGATCTGCCTCTCCATAGGCAAAGTCCCGGGTCACCTCCTCTGCACCAAGACACGCGTGCCCATCAGGGGGCGGCAGGAAACCGGGGCCCAGGCCCATCCTCCGGGGCGGGCGGGTGTCTGACTTACCACCCGTGTCCAGGTCCCTCAGGGGCCACAGCAGCGTGTAGGCCACCTGCTGGGGCATGTAGAAGAAGGGTGCGGTGGCAAAGCTGGGCACGTCCGCGTGCTGGATGCGCGAGCCAAACTCGTCCATGACGTACCACACTGGCACCTTCTCCTCGGCCGTCTGTGGGCAGAGCGCACAGCCACCCTTGACCATCGGTCTTCCTCCCTGTCCCTTCCGTCCATGCACTGTCCACGCACCCAAACACCAAGCAGCCACCCATCTACGCCCAACTCTTCAAGCCTGAGGCATCTCTCATGTGCACCCCCAGTCCCTTTAACCCGAGGCCCCAGGGACAGCGGCCCTGCCCTGGCAGATCAGGACACAGGCTGGCGGACTGCAGCGTGACCGCTTGTGTGGGACAGGAGCATGGAAACAAGGCACGTGGCCCAGAGGCTACACAGATGTGTTCGGTTTTGTGTGTATAGCAGGGGGAGAAGGGGGAGACTTCGAGTTCAGGGAGGGCTCCCTGGGGGAGGCAACATCTAAGCTGAGATCATGAGAAACTTTTGTCTTTCCCCAAACTAAAAGTGGTAAGGGGCTGGAGCATAAGGGCGAGTCTGGGGAGGCGGGAGGTGACAAAAGCCCGGGACACGTGCTAAAGGGATATGACTCCATATCTGGACTTCTCCAGAAGCAGCGAGGAACCACTGAGGGCTTTCAAGAGGGTGACAGAACCAGAAGGCACCAGGAAAGAGGCAGCCGAGTCACTGAGCCCAAGTCTAGGGGTCTGAGAGAGGGCTGTATCCTGTGAGCTCACAGGCCACGCAGACACATGGGTCCCCGGCACTGGCTGGCTCAAGGCAAAGAGTAACAGGCCCACAATGATGCCACACAGAACACGGGGGGTTTCCATGGGCCCCGGGAGAAGATGAATTTGCTTACTTGTGGGGTAAAGCCCCCCAAGCTGGGTTGAGGCCTCTCCTGGACCAGCCCCCCTTGCTAGCCCTGACAGCGTGGGCCAGTGAAGGCCTATGTCTGTGTCTGTCCTCCGCCTCCCCTGGGGCCCGGCTGCCCACTCACCCCGTGGGCCAGCTGGTAGGTCTGGTTGAACTTCCACATCTCCTCCAGCACCAGGTCCACGGCCTCAGGGCTGGGCAGCTCGCCGTGGAACTCGACGCCCATCAGGTTGGCCATGCGGTGCAGCAGCCCGGGCACCTGCTGCAGCTGTTGGCGGGCGTGCTCCACGCGGCACGTCCAGGCGTGGTCGATGAGGAAGATGCTGTAGGCAGAGACCATGGGAGGTGTGAGGCTGCCACGCGGGCACGGCAAGAAGGGAAGAGTAGGGAGAGGGCAGCAGGGAGAATCCAGCTGAGAATTCCAGTGGGCCTGGGTGGGGATCCTGGGTCTGCCGACCACTCACCGTGTGGCCCTGGGCAAGTTCCTCTCCCTCTTCTAGTTTCTAAAATGGCAACGGGGTCTCTACCTCCTATCCCCGGGCTGACACGAGCAGCCAGTGAGACAAAACACACAAATACTTGTGTACTCAGCGATTATTACAGCAATCACTGCGACAGTGAGTGCCCTCAACTGGACTTTTAACCCCTGGAGGACAGGCCCAGCTTCCTCACCTGGCTGCACGGCAGTGGCTCAGCAAAAGCAAAGGCCACGCGCACGGGGAGGCCAGCAGCAGGCAGACGCGCAAAGGAGCTGCCATGTGGAATGCGTGCATGCACGCACGCCGGGACCTCTGGGCACTTGCTGGGAAGCATCAACACCTTTCGGCAAGAGAGGCTTCCAGTCGTCACACGGACGGACACCTGCAGCCCAGAGGCTCCGATTTCTCAGAGGAGCCCAGGGGGCCAGCTGCCCGGCTCGCGCACAACCGCGCGGGGGCTGCAGTGGAGGACAAGGAGGTCCAGCGCAGCCCAAGGCTCGGCCTGCCCCCTCCCACAGGTCAGGGCTGCCCAGACACTGTCCAGAGCCCGGGTGGACTAGGAGGCCCCAAAAGCACAGGTGTGAGTGCCTGATGGGCAGAGCGGCCCCGGCCTCTGTTCCCCAACAAAATGAAAGAATAGCAAACGCTCCAGTCCTCACGCCAGGTGGCAAGTTCAGCAGCATTTACTTTACTGTGTTTATATTACTTCTTGTTTGTACATCCTAAAACTGACGAAGATTTATTCCTGCCTCATGCTTAAGTTTATGACCGTGTGCTGCAGTGCACAGAGCCAGGCCTTCAAGGTGGAACACCTAGGAATGACCCTGGGTAAGTGCACATGAAGGGTGCTGTACTCGGCGGGTGTGGGAGGGGGTGGAGGCTGGGGCCTGCCATCAGGGGGACTCACAGAGGCCTGGAGGAGAAAGGCCGGGGAGCAGGGGGTGCTGTGGAGCTGAAACTAACCCCGGGCTCCAGGCCCAAGACTCCCTCCCAGGCCCCTCCCAACACCGACTGGGGCGGTGTGTGTGGTGAAGGTGCAGAGGCCTGAGCTCCTGGATGTGGCTGTGGTGGCTGCGGTGCCTGCGCCCCAGACACGGCACAGGCGGGAACACCGCAGGTGTGCACAAAGGTGGGCTACCCTGAACTTCACGAGAAGGGGAGCGTGAAGTTCCTGAGGCAGAGAGCATGGGGTGGAGGCACTTGACTGCTGTAATTACCTGTGTGGCCACTCCCGCCCCCTCCCAGGCTGGGGAAGGAGGCTGGGAAAGCTCCGCAGAAGAGGACGCCAGACCCTTCCCTGAGGAGCTGTGGACACAGGGCCCAGTGACCTTCAAAGGCTGGCAATTTTCTTCCTCAAGGTTCCAGTAAAGTCAGGCAGAGGGGCCTGCAGGCCTGTCCTGGCTGAGGACAGCCCCTTTCGGCCTGGGGTCCAGTCTTAGCTCTGCCCCGTCTACCCTGTGGCTACGGGCCTCAGCGTCCTTACCTGAGGACTCAACCAGGCCACATTCCTCCCATTCCCGGGCATAAAACCCTGGAGAACTCTGTTACATGCGCTTTCCCAGGCTCCACCCAGAGAGTCACTCAGATTCAGCAGGACCAGGGAGAGGCCCAGGAGGCCTTGTGAAAGCCCGGGCTCGCGAGTAAGACTGCCCTGGGTTCAGTACCCACACCCCTAACCAGCGGTGTGACCTCAGGCAAGTCCTTCCCCTCTGTTTCCTCATCAGCAAAATCGGAACTCAGCACACCCCCGTTGTGGTTAAGTGAGACATGGGGAGGCTGCTTGCAGGACAGCATGAAACACGACTAACACGGGAGGTCGTCACCGGCGGGGCTGACACCCTGAAGCCCAGGTGGAAACATAGGTGGCCACCAGTGCATGTCACCAGGCTGGCTAAGTGACCAGAGCTTGGCACACAGGAAGCATGAGTGTTTGCAATTATTGCTCTTCCCCAGCGGGCACAGTCCTGGTGAAATCCCTCTAGAGGCAGCCCGGCCCTGAGAGCGGCGGTGTGGGTGGCGGACACAGGCCTGCACCCCTACCTGTTGGGGTCGGCTGCCTGGAGCCCGTTCTCGTGGGTGACGATGACCTTGTAGCAGAGCTCGCCGCCAGGGTTGGGCTTCTTCCTCCGCACTTCCCGCGCCGCCTCGTCCCCACTCCCGTCATCCTCCACTTCTTCCACTTGCATGATCCCAAACATCTCCCCGGCGTCAAAAACCTGGGGGTCACAGCAGGGGGAGTTGGCAGGACACCCCCCAACCCGCTCCCCACAGCCTGGACTCCTGCTCCGGGAGAAGCCGCGAGGGCGCCACACCCTGGCCTCAAGGACAAACTAAACCCCTTAGAAGCAGGACCTAGTTATTGCCCAACTACCCATTTTACAGGTGGGGAAACTGAGGCTCCTGAAGAAATCAGTCAGAACTGGGACCTAACCTACCCCAGTACAGGGACCATCGTCCAGGGCCCCTCGCCCACAGGACCCATGCTCAGAAGTGGGATTGCGTGTGTGTTCCAACTACATCTAGTCTGGTCCTTCCCTCTACAGGGAAGATGAGCCTCCAAAGGCAGAGGGGTAGGTCTGGTCACTCTGCAAGTGAATGGAAGAGTCGGGATCTTGGTGGCCAGAGACCTCATCCCAAGGCCACTCTCACTGGAAGAACCAATCCAACACCAGGGCAGCCGAGGCACCCCAGAGGGAACAGGTGCCCAAGAGGCCCTGCAGCCGTCACGCCAGCCCAGCCAAGAAGCGGTCCAGGCCTGCACGAAGCATGGCCTGGGGGGCCTGGGGCTCATCTCCTGAGGTCCCGGGCCAGAAGACAAGGGCCTCGATCCTTGAGTTTCCCTGGCAAAGGACAAGTGCCAGCCACGTGCAGCTGGTGAAGCAGTCGGCCTCCTCTATGTGCTCTGGAGCCAGGCTGGGCCCCACTCAGCCACACTCACGGACGGTGTGTCTGCCTAAGGTCGGCAACGGGCCTTAGGGAAGATTCTGGAGCTAGGCCACATGACCTTAGTCACTGAACCACTCTGTGCCTCAGTTTCCCCATCCATACAATGGGAATATTACAACGTACCCCTAGAAGGCTGTTAGGAGGATTACATGATTCACACACATATAGAGCCTAGAAGACCCTAAACTCAGCATACACGCTGTCAGCATGTGCCACCAGCACTACACTTCTGAGATTAGTCTCTCACCTGGGAAGGGGTGTCACCCACCTTCCAGGAGCTACAGGTGTTAAATCAATAAAACAGTGCACACGCCAGGGACTCAGCAAAGGCAAGCTCTCCCCTAAAACCTACTTCTCACAGCTCAGTTAAAAAACAGAAGAAAAATTCATCCCAGCAGTTGGAAACCAGCTGTCTATACAGGCACAAGCAGCTGTGTGTGCCAGGCAGGCAGGCAGGCACCTTGGGGTGAGAGGATGGACCACTCATGATCTTGCCCAGGGAGTGGAGAGCCGTGTGGCAGAGACAGGTAGGGTTGGGCCACTGAGAGGACCAGGTAAATGGTGCCGGGGCCTGGAGGGCCCGGGGAAGACTTTATGGAGGAGCCATAATCAGAGATGAGTGATGAAGGAAGGGGAGATTGAAACACGTGGCCGTGGGGTGCTGTGAAAGGGCACCAGGCAGGGGGGCTGCGGAGCAGGTAGAGCAGACCAGGTTCTCCGAAGACAAGAGGAGCTCGGGCTCTCTGGGATGGAGCCTCAAGCTGGGTTCCCCTGTAACCCCCAAAGAACCCGAGGAGGCTACTACCTTCCTCACAGTTGAGAGATCAGGAGAGAGCAGCTCAGAGGGCTGGAATTCACCTTAGACTTCAACCCAGGACCCCAAATCCCCAGCCCTCCATCCCCAAACCTGACGGAGGGAGAGGGCACAGAGGGGGGAGTGTAGGGCCTGGGGACAGATGCCTACCTCGCCTGGCCTCTCCCCAGCTGTGAAATGGGAGTGACCACAATCCCATCATGGTGGGACTGGAGAAGCCCCTAACGAGGTAACAAAGGGGAGTGGTTTTGCAACTGGGAAGTCTGTGCAGACAGGAAAAGAGTTGACACTTACTTTAAAACACTCCCCATCCTTTCCAAGGGAAGTGATTTCTTTTGAGGCAAGGCACCAGGGGGCACTGGCCTTGCGGGGTGGTGGGGTTGAAGGGGCCCATTCCTCTGCTGCCAGGTGCCTGCTCGGCGGGTGTGCACCTTCCCTCACACCTGGCCCACAGCAGCAGCGGCAGGTCTCACTCAGAACAACGGCTGCAGGTTTGGGTCTGGCAAAGTGATGACTCACAGCTCTGCCGGTAACCCGTAACGGCAAGGGAGGGTCATGGAAAAACACTGGCTGCCCCTCGCAGAGCCACAGCGGCCAGGGCAGAAGAGAGGCTACACTCTGGTGACTGCCTGCCGCATGCTGGGCACTGGCTGACGCTTACCTCATGCCACCCCACCCAATCCCCACAGGGGCCCTGTTTCACCTCCTGCTTTCCAGGTGGGCACTCGGGCTCAGACAGGAGAGTGACTTGGGTTTACTGCCCATGGAAGCTGGCAGGGCTGGAGCCATCATGCTCGTTTCACCCAGCACACAAGGACAAACTGCTGGGGTCCCCTCCCACCCCAGCACAGGCCTGGGACCCGGGCACATGGTCAGGAAATGCTGGCGGAACTGAGGGCAGGTCACACCAAGAAAGGAAATTCACTGTGTTACAAAAGGGAGGTATGCACCGAGTGCCTCTGACACTGTATCTTTTTTATAGCAACTGTGTGTGTTTTGGGCAGGAAGGTACCTGGTCCAAATCGATTTTACAGATAGAGAAACCGGCAGAGACGGTGGGATTTGTCCAGCAGCCAGGGTCAGGGCACACCCTCTCCTTGCCTCTGGACTTCCTCCTCATCACCTGCACCCCTCCGTCTGTCTCCGCCCCAGGAGGCGGCCCCCCAGAAATGAGCCTGGTTCCAGATAAGAAGACCCCACTATCTGGTCCATGAATGTGCTCCAGCTTCATCACCTGGGCAAACTACCAAAAACCAGTGCCCACCCCTCAGCCAGGACCCGCAGGAGACCCTCTGGAGGCCCAGGCGGGTGAGCAGAATGGAGGTGTCCCCACAAAAAGAGGGAGAACCTAGAAGCACTGAAGCCCTTTTCATTTTTCTTTAGATTCCTTCTCTCTCTCTCACAGCCTGTTGTCTTTAATCTGCAAAATGGGGGTGATCTGGGGTTCAAATCAAACGAAAAAACATGACAGAATTCTATAACCCGATCAGTGAAAGCCACACAAATTCATGGGGCATCTCTTCCCCCTGAGGGAGGCAGGGGCGGAAAGAGAGCTTCCAGTTCTGAAGGCTGACAGACCTTGGGAGAGACCCTTCCTCTTCCTGACCTCAGTTTTCTCGACTGTCTAATGGGACTGCTGTGAGGCTCAGGTGTGTGGAGAACGCAGCACAGGGCCTGCCTGGCACACAACAGGAGCCAAAGTTCATTTTGGTTCCAGTTCCCACCGCAGCCCTGGCCCAGCCCCAGTGCTGGTAGGATCAGGGCCACTACCGGGCTCCGGCGGCCACTCTTAGGTCCCAAATCTAGACGGCTCCTTAACTGCCAAGGAGACAAAGTCGGTGATCACGACATTCGTGGCCCTTCGTCATTAAAACTCTACCCGCTTCTCCAGCCTCGTCCATCCACGCCATCCCTCAACTCCCAGAGGGACACATACTCCTGCCCTGGAACGCGCTTTCTTCACTTCTCCACGTCGCGAACCCCCCAGACACCCTCCCGACCTTATCCGCACGTGACCCCAGGAGGCCTCCCTGCCGCCCCACCCCAGCGGCTCTCGACTAAGGGCCCGTCCAGAGACCACACCCTTCCCGGCAGAAGGGTCCAGAGCCGTCCGCCCCCGGCGCCCAGGGCCCGCGGGAACCGAGGACGGGGGCGCGCGCCCAAGGACCCGCACGCCAGCTGCCCCCGCGCCTCTCAGGGCGCCCCGGCCC